CCATAACAACAAAATAGAGCTTGATGGTTATGTAAGGATGCTCATGTTCATGTTTCCAATGTACCCTATGAACACACACACCAAATTTTGCTCTGGACACAGAACTCAGTCCTAGCTGCAATTAAACACAGATGCATCCAGAAGATGCATTTGACTTTGATGCTTGTTTTTGCTTTTTTTTTTTTTCCTGCTGCTGAGAATTGGCCTGAAAAGGCCTGACCCTCACTGCACATCACATCTTTTTCCCCCTCTCAAAAACTGTATTTCCATAATTTGTGTTTTCAGTGCTGTATCACAGGTGTCTTGTGTGGATGGCTTCATAAGGCATGCTCCCCATGCACGTAGAAAGGAACTGTTACCTTAGGAAAAGGATAAACATGGAAGATAAAAGAAGAATGAGTTTGGAACTGGCATCAGGAATGTCACAGTTGTTGAATGATCCTATTTGGTTAAAGCTGCCTTGCTTAACTAAGCCATGGCTAAGGGAAGGCATATTTGAACATGTGGCTACAAAGGAGAGACAGGGTTTGTGCTATAGGATCCTTAAAGATTTTATACCTCCTTGCTCTGGAACCCACCTTGCCAACAGAGAGAAGCTCTTCCAAGTACTACTGCTTAGCACTGCAAGTAGAGTCTGCAAAATCTAATACAGCGATGACAGTGAGAAAATTAAACATCAGCACAAAAATTAGGAAATGGTGCTTGACTGCAGAGAAACTCAAGACTGTCCAAATGAGTCTAGGAGAAAGGTACAAACAGGAGAATTTTTAGTTCGTATCACATGCAGATAAAACTACTATTTGAAGTCAGAAATCTCTTTAAAATTAAATAAGTGCTGTTAGCTGCAAAGAAGCTAATTGAGATTGTTGCTCTTGTTGTCTAAATGTGCAGAAGAAGTTATCAGTGTTTCAGAAGCAGCATCAGCCTGGATGCTGAAGGCTATTTTCCTTATATTTAATGCAAAGACATTTTTCATTTGTCATGTGACAACTCCTTTTCTCTCTTTTTCTGGCAGGCAAACTCTCAGGCATTTTGCCACAACAAAGACCTCCACCAAATCCCTCATGAGCTCCATCCAAATGTAAACAAAATAGATCTGTCGGGAAATCTGATTCAAAGCATTCCTGAAATGTCCTTCTCATTTTACACTTCCCTTCAGTGCCTGGATTTAAGTTCTAACCAGATAAGCTTCATCACTCCTGGAGTCTTCGCACACATGAAGAGTTTGCTGGAAATAAATTTAGCCAACAATCACTTATATGAGCTTGCTCAAAATGGCACAGAGGGAATTGGACTCCTACCCAAGGTGGAAATACTGGACTTGTCCCACAACAGTCTGTACAATGGGATGGCTGAGTATTTCATTAAAGAAGCTCCAGCACTGCAGTATCTTTCCTTGGCAGACAACAGTATTATAATGATATCACAAAAGATGTTTCAGGGATCTCCCAATCTTGTGGAGATAGATCTTCAGAGCAACATCATCATGGAGATAAAAGAAGGTGCTTTTGAGACTCTAGTGAGCCTGTCCAAACTCAACCTCTCAAAGAATTCAATTACTTGCATCTCTAATTTTAACCTCAGGCAGCTGGAGATACTTGACCTTAGCAGAAACAGCATTGAGACCTTCCATACCACAAAATCAGATGATGAATATAGCTTAAGGTATTTGGATCTGAGTGAAAACAAACTGTTTCACTTCCCAGTGTTCCCTCAGGTAAATAAGCTGGTAACTCTGAATTTATCACAGAATTTAATCCAGCTCACTGCTGAATCTCCTCATAATAAAATGGACTATGTGAAAAATGAATGGGTAAATGCTTCTTTCCATATTCTTGATCAGAAGCAAAGTAGAAACAAAAGTTCTCTTTATTTATCCCAGCTTGTATATTTAGACTTAAGTTATAATGAAATCAAATCCATTCCAGATGAGTTCTTTGACTCAATGTTGTCCCTTCACACCCTTAATCTCAGTAAAAATTGTCTTCAGGCATTTGCAGTAAGTTATGACAGTGCATTGATTGCTTTAACTGTCCTTGACTTGAGCTACAATGCTTTGCAGAACCTTCTCCTTGATGCTGGTGTGTTGTCAAATTTGAAGGAGCTCTATATTCAAAACAACTATCTTCAAACCCTGCAGTTTGATACCTTCTCAAATCTTCCTAGCCTTAGACTGCTTAATCTACAGAGCAATAATATCAGCCTTTGCAGCATGTACTCAGGATTAGCTAAGCAAAGACTTGCTGGGGAGGAGAGTGGTTGTGTATCATTTGTTGGTTCTCCTTCTCTTCAGTACTTGTACCTAGCTGACAACATGCTGAACGTCCTACCAGCATACAGCTTCTACAAGACTTCTCTGCTTGTCTTGGACCTCTCCGTGAACCCTGGACTGAAAATAGAACTTAAAGCATTATCAGGTCTGGAAAAGTCTCTGGAATATTTGTATTTATATGGTAATAGCCTGATAGATTTAAATATTGACTTGCCTTGTTTTAGTCACCTTAAACATTTAAACCTCTCTGAAAATCAGCTGAGCTGGCTGCCTAAGTGGGATAGTGACTCTCCACTAGAAGTTCTGGACCTACGGAACAACAGGTTCAGTACATTACAGGACAGCAATATTTTAGCATTAGAAAATTCACTTAAAAACTTGTATCTCACTGGGAACCCACTCAGCTGCTGTGGAAACATCTGGCTTTCATCAATGATCCAGAACAAAAATGTCCAGATCCCCAACGTGGAGTATTTAATGTGCCAGCACACTCAGAATTTCGGGTACCAGGATGAAATGCACATCAGGAACATTAGGCCAGAAGACTGTGAAAAAGAGGATCTGAAGAAAATCAACTTCCTTATTATATTAACACTTGTGTTGGTTTTATCTGTGATCATCATTGGTGTGGGTTCATTTTTTTGCTTCCGCAGGCAGAACTTTACCCATCAGTTTAAAGCATAGAAACACAAAATGCCTTGAAAACTGAAGAAATTGGGTGCTACACTGACGGTGTGTAGAAATGAAGGGTAAAATTCTCATCTTTGATTTTCAGGTGTGGATTTTAAGTGCTTTTGAAGTGCCCCTGAATTACACCAGTGGTATGGGTTCCAGGGACTGGAAGGAGAATTTGCCATGTTTTGCAGATCCACAGTTTAATTCAAAGAGGAGAAATCTGGCCCTAATGTGCAATATATATTTAACTGGGTTTAATGTGAAGAAAGTCGTCTCTGGGGTGAAAGATTTTTTAAAAAAAATCCTGGAGCATTAATTTCAAGAAGCTAACATTGAACTTAAATGTTTATATTTCTAAGAAAAACTGTTGGGAAATCACTGCATATGGTTGCATTTCAATGCAGAAGAATAGTATATCTATTTTTAAAGACCATGGGAGATTAGACTGCAAAAAGGTGTTTTGAACGTACCAGTGTGAAATAATGCATAGGGAACACAGTCATGGGCCATTATTCAGATCTGTCTTTCCCCAAAAATATATTATTGTCTAGAGAATGTGCTGCAAGAAAAGTTCTGTAGGTCCTCATCCTGCGCTGTGTTTAACATGGCTAGCCTGTTGTGTTGCTAAAAGTTGACACTGACAAATGTTATATCCCATATTCTCACAGAAAATTCACCCTTTTGGGTGACAGTGAGTGGGACCTGACCTGCTAACAGGGTTCAGTGGCTTTGAAAGGAACTGTATTGGGTTTTCTGTTAATGGCAGGAACTGTCCATTCAGGCACATAAGAGAAAGAGTGGTCAAACTGAAACCTGTCCAGGTAAATAACTCAGAGTCAAATTGCTGCTCCGTTTCTGTTTCTTCCAGCTAGTGAATGTCAAAACTTCCACACTACAAAAAAAGGTGTATAATTATATTTTTAAAGCAGTTACGTATGAAACTGGCTGGCAGTTTTCATTGTGGAATTTTGTACAATAAAAACAACTTTGAATTTTGTAAAAAGCACAAGGCTGTGGATATATTAAAGCACTAGTTTGGAATGCTCCACAGATGGAAAGAAATGTCTTCCTATTTTTCTATGGTATTTGGGCTCCACCTTAGACCTTTACCTTCTGGTCCTGAAGCAGAGACAGCTGCTCCATATTAAAGAGTACAACCAATGGAGAATAAGGAGATGTACTGGAGATGTAGGCAAGAATTTGGAACAGGTTGCCCAGAAAAGTTGTGTCTGCCCCATCCCTGGAACTATTCAAGGCCAGATTGGATGGGGTTTGGAGCAATCTGGTCTAGCAGATGTCCCTGCCCAGGGCAGGGGATTGGAACAAGATGATCTTTAAGGTCCCTTCCAAACCAAACCATTTTGTGATTTCTGTGATCCTATGAATTTGAGCACACTATCAGCAGCAATAGGGCCTGATCTAACACCTATGAAAGCCAATGGCTCAAGCACTTAATCTTGTAGGAGAAGGCTTGCACAAGCAGCTATCCCAGCAATTAGTTGGAAGCTCAAGAGCAAGCCAAGCTGTGCACCCAGATGCCCATTTGCCACAGACTGAGTTCATAGTTTTTGTGTCAAGCATGGCAAGACTATTTCTCCTGCTGTGAGAGACAGTATTAGCTTGGCTGCTGTGACTAGAATTATTTAATAACCTGATGACAGAGCCAAACCCATTTAATTAATGGTTTTAACACTGATATTGTTTTGATCTACAAAAAGGAAGTGCTTGTTATTACTAAACATCTGGGACTAATTAGACTTCCATTGACTTCCCTGGGAGCAGAAATAGTTTTTGCAGGAGTAAGTTTCAGAAGTAAAGTGCGGCACGGCTCATTTGGATTTTTCTGTAAGCAGCATAAGCAACCAAGTAGTGATGTGAGCCTGCTTCAGCCAATTCTTTTACTCTGGATGAGATGAGAAGTGTGAGGGAAAGAAAAATATGACTAAATTCACAAAGAAAGGGAAAACAGGGAAAATGGGAGCTCTACATTACATTGTTCAAAATTATTCAAAATAGGGATATGTAGATGACAGCCCCACCTCTTGCCTCTCCAGTGTGTCACTGTGCCTTCAAGAAGACCAAAATCCAAAGTACCTGATCCTACATCAAAGGTAGCCATCACTAAGACATTACACATCTTTCCACCAGTCAGCCCCATTGTCCTAGAAGGCTGGTGTCACGGAAGCAGAATATGAACCCTATCCCAGCAGAATTAGAACAATAGGCACAATACAGCCTGTAATTTTGCAACCAAGATTGACACCCTCATTCATTGCTTTTTCATAAAGTCCTTGCAAAAACCTCTGTTGATGCAAAGAGCTCCTTCTTCTAAGCCATGGAATATCGTTCTGTGATTCTGTGATAGAGCATTTGGGATTTATGCAGTCAATGCAAACTGTGTTTTAAGTTGCCACATGCAACAAATGGCTTCTCTTCTGCAGCTATTTGCATGGGACAGAACAAGAGAAACAGAATCCTAAACTGGTTTAGGCTAGAAAGCACCCTAAAGTTTCCAGTTTTTCTGCAAAGTCAAGACAAAATAACACCCTCACAAGTTATCAGCCTCTGGCCACAGATTTCTACTTTGACCCAGCTCAGCCCTAAACTATCTACAGTGTGTTAGTACACAAGACAGTAACTGCCTCCTAATGTTTTGGGAACTCAAAGCATTTCCTCTCCCCATCTCTTCCCCATGTCATTCAGTACTCTTTTATTTGCCTGTGGAGAAACAAACTGAAATAAAAGTCTAAGTAACCAGGGAAATGTGGTGAAACTGAAATGGGAGGAAGAAGAAACTGAAAACGTATGGAAGAACTTTCTGAGGAGGACCTGTCAGGCTTAGCACATTATTTCACAAGCAAAGGCATTTGGAGGCTGATGAAACACGATATTAAGCAAAATTTCGGCAAATATAAGGGAACAATCCTGCAACACTGAGTCTCTTTTCTCCCAAGCTATTGATCACGGTTGTTCTGCTGTGCTGCATTTCACATTTTCCCTCCTCCAGTCCATTTCTAGCAGCTGTCACATCAGACACACTTGGGAGACAATGGGAGACCTGACTGCAGCCTTTCCACACCTAAAGGGGACTTGTAAGAAAGAAGAGAGGCTTTTTACACAGGGAGATAGTGACAGGAAAAAGGGAAACAGCTTTAAAATAAGAGCAGAGATTCAGTTGAGGAAGAAGTTCTTTACTGTGAAGGTGATAAAACGCTGGCACAGGTTGCAAAGAAACTGTGGATGCCTCATCCATGGAAGTGTTGAAGGCCAGGTTGGATGGAGCTTGGAGCAACCTGGTCTAGTGGAAGGTGTCCCTACCCATGGCAGGGGACTGGAGCTAGGTGTTCTTTAAGGTCCTGTCCAACCCAAACCATTTTGCAACTTCATGATTTTCCAGTTCATAAACAGTGTACTCGATGAAGAAACATTCTGGAAGGTGACTACTGAGGAGATTCCTCTTTACTGTTCCTGACTTCCACAGAAAACGGAGTGGGGAAGGGAGTCCCTGGTCCTGAAGGCCAATGAAGGAGAGACTTCCATTTGCAGGTAGAAAACCTACCAAAGAGAAGGTTTGGGATGAGCAACTAGGCTGGAGATATGGCACAAGGAGAAGAGAAGGGGAATAAGAATAGCTAAACCAGGAATCTGGAATCCAGATTACAGAATCACTGAATGGTTAGGGTTGCAAGGCACCTCTGGAGATCATGGAGAGATCTCATGGAGACCATCTGGAGATCAACCCCACTGCTAGAACAGGTTCACCCAGAGCATATTGCACAGGTTTGTGTCCACGTGGGCTTTAGTGATTTCCAAAGGAGGAGACTCCACAATTTCTCTGGACAGCCTAATGTAGTACTCTGTCACCCTTACAGTGAAGAATGGGGAAGGAATGGTCAGGACGAAATTAAAACCAGAATCAGGAACTAGGCTTATCCAACCTGGAGAAGGGATAATCTTGAGGAGAAATCTTTTCCTCTACAAGGAAAAGCATCAGCTCCTCCCAGGAGTATTCACTGTGGGGACAAGACACAAACGCTGAGAGCTGCAGCTGAGGAAGTTCACATTAAACAGAAAGGAAAAATTCTTCATAATGAGAGAGGTCAGACTCTGAAAAGGCCTTGGAGACTTTCAAAACTCATCAGGGCAAAGCCCTGAGCAGCTACTTCTGACACTGAAGTTGGCCCAGCTTCAATCAGGGAGCTGGACTGGAGCTCTCCAGAGGCTCCTTCTGTTCCAAATTATTCTCCAAATCTTTGGAAAACAAGAATGGGTCATGCACTTAGATAAAGAATAGAGTAGCAGAGAAACAGGGCCTGTAACTGACATCTGAAGTAGTGGAAGGCATTTGGCAGAAGAAGTGCCCAGGAAAGATGGCAATAGTGGCTGACAATGTCAGATGTCAACAGAGCTACTCAGCTCATGGAAGTCTGAGTTCACATAATATTTCCTTTTTGTTTCCCTCCTGAGTTTAATAGCTCAAAATTAAATATTTCCAAAATTTTCCATGAAAATTCTGAAAAATATGAAGTTGGCAAATGTCTCCTTTTAAAGCCAGAGCTTCAATTTTAATTCAGATATTCCCACTGCTGAAAGCACATACAATAACACTAAAAAAAATAAAATCATGGCTACATTCAGTTTGCCTTTATTATATTTGTTCTAGAGAAGATAAGGAAATATTTAAATCAGCTAATGCTAAATAAAATCCCTCCCAGTTATCACTAAATTAAGCAGAGAAAATAAATCAAAATAAAATAGGCATAAAATGTTAGGTTATTGAAATTATATAAATCTTTTCATGCTTTAAAATATCAATTAGTGCTGGGACACGGGAAGAACATAAAATAAAATAATGGTAGTTACCTTTCAAAATTCCAGAAGGGACCCATCAGGTAAGGTTTTAATTCAAAAATGTTTTATGTTGTAGAAATTTCTTCCATCATGAGTACTTACATTCTAATTCATGCTTTTAAAATAATATTTACAGGTTTTATGTGTCCACTGCCTTTCACTTTAAAATGTTGTTACAAAAAAATTCTGACAAGAATCACAGATTGAAGAGTTTCAAACCCTCATTTTCACTGATGGTTTAGTCTTGGAAAACACTTTGTACCAGACTTCAGCAAAAGTTTTTTCCTCATATATGTGATTGAAGACTTCGTGTTTTCTTTAATGTGTCCCTGTGTTACACCACAGGCATCAGGCAAGCAATTGAATTGTTAAAATTGATCCATCACCCCCAAATCAAGCCCCTTTCCTGTTTGGAAAGAATGATGCCCATTGAGGTGAAGGTCCAGAAAATTATTTGTATGCTTTAACTGCCACTCTAGATATTTAAACCCAAAATATAAATCTTCACAGTCTTTGTTTAGCTGCTGGTTCTTCCACCTGGTGCCTGAAGTCTCTAGAGGACTATGTTTGATGTGGAAATTCCCTGTGAATTTCTGCTTCTTGGGATATTCAGAAATGCCACAAACAACACAAAACCATTTTCATATGTAAGCCCCAACAGAACTCTTACTTTGAACTTTCCTCTACCAAGTCTTCTAAGTGCATAGATATTACCAGAGCATTGCTTCTGGCCAAAGCTCTGTAGGAAGTGTAGGTGGAAATAAAGCTGCCATGACAACTCCATGTCTAGATGGATAATCCAGTCCTCTCCTCTACCCTCATGAGTATTTTCTATTCTTTGAGTGCTGTCCTCCTTTCCAGGCCAGGGAGAGTGCTACATGGATCCTATCAATTTATCCTCACTTTTGTCTCAATATGCAGAATATTGTGCTCCTTAAAGGACATTTAGGTAACCTCTGGAGGACAGAGCTATTCTCTCCACACAAAAATCTGGCTGCTGGCACTGCAGAAGGCAGAGGGGAAGAGCTTGAACAAGACACTTGGGAAGTACCACGCTCCCATACTTAATGATGTACTAATTAAAACAATTTCTTTCCTGCAGAAGAGGACATTAAGTTATGATGTGTCATATGTGCTCTGAACACTATGTTAAAG